ACACTTGGGTCAACTCAAATCAAGCAAATCTGCCAAACCAACTTAATAATTCGACGGTGACACACGTCAGCTGTCACCGTTATAACGCTAGCCACATGCGAATTTGGAAGCATTGTTTTCCCGGAAGAAATTTGAACACGGCAAATATTACTTCATTAGACTAATTGTTTCTACTCCCTTTACCTACAGAGTTTCACCCTTGGAGGCTGACAATTAAATGGACAGTTAATTCTCTTATTAGTAGGCAACGACCCTTTGCAGCTGAATGAGAGGTCACGAAATTTTATGATATCATTAACTTCTGCTAATCTAACAATCTTTGCCTTGTTCACATGCGAATTTATTGAAAGTACATATATGTTTGCTTTCATCTCTTCAGAACTGTTTGAAGACTGCATGTGAAATGTTAAAAACTAGAATCAATAAGATTATACATTAAGCGTAAACGTAATCGCTTACACGAAGCCCATTTCCGCTTGACCGTGCTGTACTGCGGTTACTTAAAACAGGGAACTTTCGTTAATATTGTATGGTTCTCAAGGGATGCTCAAAATCATTCTTTGATACATTACAGAGGAAAGACTCTCCAAAAAGTGGTGAGAGGCAAAAGCCGGGCAATGATGAGGAGAAATCAGATTCACCAAAGGACAAAGCAGCTCAGCTTCAGCATAATCTGCCCTACATTACAATGGCCGTCGTTGCAACCGAATTACTTCTCGTATTATTTATGCTTTGCTGCAAACCTGCCAAGAAGAAGGAGAAGAAAGATGATGACAACGACGACGACGTCGCCGACAACGGTAACGGGGGTGGCAAAGGCAACGGCAACGGAGGTGACAAAACAGGCGGCAACGGCGCTCCTGGAACCATGGTCGTTGATATGAGCAAGCCGATCCAGATTAACCTTAATATTCCAGGTCTAAGTGGTGAAGGAGGCAAAACAGGTGGCCCATTTAGGATGTTGCATGCCACAACACCCTCAAACGTTTACGGATCTTCCAATTAGGGCTTGATCGTATGCTGTAACCTCTGTTGAATTCGTCTTTCACATGAACATGCTTGCAATTTTCGCAAGCTTTCTGCTTTGTTTTCTTGCCTGTGTTTGGGAACTTTACATTAACATCCTGCAGTCTTTCAGAAATTCAAAAATTCTTTTTCGATCAGTTCAGTTCGCGTCTATAAAGGACTGTATGTTCGTGAGAACCTAATCCAATTAACAAGGTCTTAAAATGGCCAGTACTGCGCTTTTCATAGTTTCTTCAATTTATTGAAAGACTCAAACTGTTAACATAAATGCCTCACGCTTCCACTAGCTGGTAGTTAGGATGACTTTAATATGGTTGGCAGGAGGTTAATTGATGGTTATACTATATGGGTGACGAGCTAGAACTTTTAAGAATATAGCGGTGAAGCCACAAACTGAAGCAAATTCAACCCTTACAGTGCACTCAAAATTTAAACGAAGTATTTATAAGCTCATTTGCTAGGCATCAGCAGTTCCATGTACAGGCTTAACGGGCTACTGAACTTGCAAGTAGGCTACATCAAAAAAGTTAGTTGGCGTCTACGAATACATACAAAACAATAGGCCAAGAGGATGAGGCGGATGAGCCTAAAAACCAAGGCCGTAATACAAAGTGGCATTTCTATCGCAAGCGTCGAAACATATACCCGACATGGAAGCTGAGCGCAGTTTTGCTAAGCGCACGGATGCTTTTATACTGACAAAGAATTTCATGGATGCTTCCACTCCTTCTGTTTCCTTTCACAAGCAGACATCATCTCTCAATGCATGGTATTTAAAAAACCCTATATCCGACTTGCAGGTGAAAGGCGAGTAATCACGAATGCCGCCGAACGTAGTCCAGAAACTGAAAGCAAGAGACAGAAAGAGAGATAAGTTTCAGACACGCTACTTCAAAGGAGACAAACGAAGACTGTACAGCAGTATGCTGCCATTTACTGTCTTCGGCTAATGCACTTTAATCGATGAAGGGCGACACGACAAGTTAACTTACAGAGTAGAGGACATAACAGTTGAAATTTTAACTGCATTTCTGAACTGTGACCTAAGCTAGAAAGGAGTACTTAAGTTGTCTCACGAAGTTCAAACCAAAAATAAAACAGTAATTCTTCATAGGGTCCGTACGAAAATAGGGTGTTGTCAAACTCACTTTGACAGTGCGCAATTTGGGTTTGATTCGCTTTTCAGAACGAATGACTAATGTGTGATTCTGAGGCCGATAGCCATACAGGTCTTACGAATGCGTGCAGTGGCTGACGTGGTGCGTGATCCAGGCCTGCGGTCCCTCGCACTTCGTTAACGATTCTTCGCCAAACCAGTGCTTTCGCACAAGACAGCGATGAATACAGACGATTAGCCCGTGAGTACGATTAAAACAAGTGATATTTCGTTAAGTCTCTCGTGAATGCTGGAGGCTATTCTATTGATCTTTCGCAATAATTCAAGTGCGTTGCCTTAATATGTGTGTGGCGAATGCAGTGGCTCAAAGGCAGCAGTGTGGCGCTGTTTTAGTATTTGCTGTTGCGTGTGCACATATAATAGTTGGACCGCCGATTTCAACGTTGTCTACAATATTCAACACAACAAATTGGTTTAGGATCGGTTACTTGCGCGGCATATATCAGACACACCCTCCCCTCACCCGTCAGAACCCGTTATCGAGACAGATTCAAGAAGTCTGGTGCGGGATTGGGCGCAGTGGTTGACAGGGCTGGCAAAATCATCTGCCCGCCCCACAGCACGACCTAGTCAATAGGTGTTCGCGCTGGTTCTGGATCCATTCATGTCAACAGGGTATATGTTCGCAACATTCCAGTCAACTGAGTAAAGCTCTCGATCGAAGGACAACTGGAAAATATGCGAAAATGATCTGGATAGTTCTGAACAGATCTCTTGCAGTACTTTTGCCAGTATTTGCTCGGGACCCGGTAGTCTACGAAGAGCAGGTTGTGGACTAAGGTCAGGGAAACGTGGGTCGATGCCTGCATAAATTGGATGTTGAAGAGGTCCCCGTCCGTTCTGTAGATGATACGGATCTCCGGGCGTTCGTTACAATAGGTATCCTTCAGTGTGGTGGAGAATATGAAACTGAAGAGGGTAAGTGTGAGAACACAGCACTGCTTCACTACACTGGTCATTGCGAAAGCTTCGGAAACCGTCTCGTTGTCCGCGACGCGGTTCAACATCCAATCGCAAAGCGGACGTTCTATGCGGGAGAAGCGCTCAGGACGGCATGATTTTCTATAGTCAGTCGCGATT